ATATAAAGTACCTTCAGCACCTTGAGATGAAATAGAGAGTGTGACCGGGACAGAACAGTGAATCAATCAGCACTAAAATTAGCTGCACACCTTCTGTTATTTAAGAGGTGCTCACATATGGCGGAACCATAGGTATTTGGGACACGTCCATTCAAAGATAAGGTGTGATTCCTGATCTTGGTGGGAATGTGTTGTTTAATTCTCATGTCCAGGCGTTGAGTCGTTCTCCCTATGTAGTCAGCACCGCAACTATAAATATATTTGTAAACAATAGAATTAATTTGATGAGGAGGGAAAGCATCCTTGCACCCAGAACGAAACACAGGCCGGGTTTGGAAAACTATTCAGACCTCAGCCTAGAAAAAACAAACTATATATATATGATACACATATTTGAGTTGCTATCTCAGATATTTTTTATTTTCTTTAACAGTTTAAGAAATATATATTAGACACGGTGGAGTAATGGATAGTGGCTCGGATTGAGAAATAGGAGAGCCGAGTTCGAATTCCAGCTGAATCCATTATATTCACTTACGTGCTAATACCCTTGGGAAAGGTATGGATACTCTTCTTCTCCCCTCACCAGCTATGGGTAAATAGCAGGACAGACCGGGTAAATAAAAAAATATGCAATGATAGCAAAAATTGCCATATGAGCACTGGTAAAAATGGTTGCTGAAGACATTAGGTTTATAATACCCAGAAATCCATGCACAGATGTCCTCAAGGATAAAGTGGATAAAGTGGCACAGTGGATAAAGGCGTTAGTTAGATCCAGTGACAGGACCTCAAAAGTGTGAGTTCAATACCTGGTTAAGTCGGTGGAGAACTTGGAGATTGGAATTAACAGGAGATAACTGTCATGCATTAAATAGAACAGTCTTCCCCAGTAAGAGAAATAAAGGGTTCAGTTCGACATTCCAACCACCTGAAGAAGGCCGGGGCGTAAAACGGCCGAAACGTTGTGATAAATATGGCAGCAAAGATGAGGACAATATAATGTAAATAGTATATATATATATATATATATATATATATATATATATATTGTTTAAATAAAAACAGACCACTTTAAAGTTCCATGTAATAAATTATTTCACCACAGCCCTTTTTAAAGTGGTCTGTTTTTATTTAAATTATTTGCTCTGGACTTACATTGAGCTCTCTGGATTTTATCCTCCTTAGGTTTACCCATATGGATTACCTAGATTTTCTTAAACTAACTAACTAATTCTAACTATATATATATATATATATATATATATATATTATTTATATATATATATATATATATATACTATTTATATATATATATATATATATATATATATATATATATATATATATATATATATATATATCTGAAAACTTATATATGTGTGTGTGTATGCATATGTATAAAATTGGAGTATCGCACTGAGGTTGAAAAAACTTACGGGCACCATGAAATAGTGATTCTAGAAAGATCGGAATCTTTAAGAACTTTTCTGCAAGTCCTATGTGGGGGGCGGGGGTAAACCTATGAAAGTCGACCTGTTTTCACATCTAGTATGGATCAACTTAAACATTACGCATTCCTACATCTATAAATTGTATATATCAGTATATCGAAATATAGAAGCAAAGAGAAAATCGTTTAAAATTCAGTTCCGACATTAATATGAATTTTCTGTTTAATGATTAGTGTTTGCCGAGGGTGGCAACCTCGCTTGCCACAGAACTCTTGCAATCCACCCCAGGACCATTAGTGACAACATAGGATAGTATATTCGTAGTCATCCTCCCGGAAACGTCCAAGAATTCGATCTTACTTTTGCTTTTTCTGCCACTGCTTTTATGTAGTTACAAACCCTATTGACCGTTGGTGACAACATAGGATAGTGTATTCATAGTCATCGGTAGATATTAAAGACGCGTCATATTTCTGTATAGGCCAGTATATGCACATAAAAATCCTACCGAAAACGTCCAAGAAATCGATCTTACTTCTGCTCTTTCAGCCACTGCTTTTATGTGCTTACAAACCCCATTTGTACTGCTCTGATTGGCCAGTCAATAATAATGCTTAACCAATGGTATTGGCTAGCCAATAACAACGCTTGACCAATAGTCTTGTGTAATACGCCTTGAAGATGAGGAAGAAAAGACCCCAAGAATCTAATATGATTGGTGGTCTAATCAAAATAAAGACCCTATGTAGTAATTATCAGAGGGGAGACGAGAAGCTCCACCTCAGCTCTCCGCTCACTAGCGGGCCAATAAAAAATGGTGGCCTTTATTGTCCATATCCACCTTCAGTGGAACATTTTCCATGTTTCAGAATCTCACCTTAATTTGATCTGATTAACACAGGTATTTATTGTCAATTATGTCTGAAAGTTATATCCCTGATCAAAACAAACCTGTCCTGAATGTTATATACCTGATCAAACTTGTCCTGAATGTTATATCCCTGGTCAAACAAACCTGTCCTGAATGTTATATCTCTGATCAAACCTGTCCTGAATGTTATATTCCTGATCAAAACAAACCTGTCCTGAATGTTATATCCCTGATCAAAACAAACCTGTCCTGAATGTTATATTCCTGATCAAAACAAACCTGTCCTGAATGTTATATCCCCCCTGTCCTGAATCAAACCTGTCCTGAATGTTATATCCTGGTCAAACAAAACCTGTCCTGAATGTTATAAATCAAACCTGTCGTGAATGTTATATCCCTGATCAAAACAAATCTGTCCTGAATGTTACATTCCCTGAACAAAACAAACCTGTCCTGAATGTTATATCCCTGATCAAAACAAACCTGTCCTGAATGTTATATCCCTGATCAAACCTGTCCTGAATGTTATATTCCTGATCAAAACAAACCTGTCCTGAATGTTATATCCCTGATCAAAACAAATCTGTCGTGAATGTTATATCCCTGAACAAAACAAACCTGTCCTGAATGTTATATCCCTGATCAAACCTGTCCTGAATGTTATATTCCTGATCAAAACAAACCTGTCCTGAATGTTATATCCCTGATAAAACCTGTCCTGAATGTTATATCCCTGATCAAAACAAACCTGTCCTGTAAAGACTTACTTTGTGTCACTCATTTCAACGTATAATTCCTTTATCAAATGAAAATAAAACTCAAATTCAACAGACCTAAGACTGTATCTAATGACAAATCCCACCCAAGCTTACAATTTCACCTCACACAAACCAAATAATTCATGGTATCGGTTATTTTAAAATGAAAATATTTCTTTTTTAGAAATAAAAAGTAGATCACCAGGCAATCTTTGAAACCAGTCATGGTGTTATACTGGAATTTGAACTCCGTTCTCCGATTAACAATTTCGAGCCATTATCCATTGCACCACCCGCACATCCAAGCTTACAGAACCTGGTATTCCCAAGCGGTCAGGTGACGGAGATGTGGTTCTACAGAAGGATGCTAAGGATATCATGGACCGAGCATGTAAGCAACGATGAGGTCTTAGAGTCGGTGCAAACAAGGAGGAGGCTTATACTTAACATCAGGGAAAGGCAGATGAAATTTCTGGGACACGTAATGAGAAAGAATGGCCTGGAGAATCTGATACTCACAAGTCGAATAGAGGGGAAGAGAGACAAGGGAAAACAATGCATGACATACCTGGCGGGCTTGAGCAAGTGGATGACAGAACGTGGTCTGGGGGGGGAGGTGGCAGAGGTAGGAAACTTATTGAGAGCTACAAGAGATAGGGAAAAGTGGAGAGCCATGATCGCTTACGTCCTGAAAAGACACGACACATAAAAAGAAAGACCAGGCTCGACGTTGCTTAACTTCGGTAATCATACGGGAACCGATGTTTCAACGTGATATGGCCATAATCAGGCACATTTGTTTTTATTCAACAACTGTAGAGCCCACCTGTGGTTTATACTGCAACTCTTACTGTTTCTGGGAGAGATCATATAATCTGGAGGGATCAAGAGTTTTTTTTTTTTAAACAAGGGCTGTACGCACAAATCTTCGGTCATCATGAACTTGTGGTTTCGTGTTAGCACAACCACATTCGCCTTCCGAGCGGTTTGCGCCTACCCAATTTCACTTACATGGTTACCCTGCGGGTCATGGTTTTCAGGCATTTCCCAAAAGTGCCCCACGCTCTGGGATCACCTTCTCAGGGCGATAGCATCAAGAGGTACCTTCCTGACATGGTGAGATTTGAACCTGAGTCGGAAAGTGAATGTCCGGATCACTTGACCACGCGCTCATATAAGTGTACACACAAACACACACACACACCTATATATATAAATATTGGACGGAATTATGTCACAGAGAACTTTTCAATTCATACAATGTCACATGCGTGTACAATATAGACGCACATATACATTGAGTGCGGCAGAAATACCTCCCACATCTACCTCCTGGAAATACTCCCCACATAATGGTAAGATATTATTTAGATGAAGACACCATTGTCACTAATGCCTTACCATTCTGTGGGAGGTATTTTGGGGAGACATATGTAGGAGATATTTTTGTCGCACCCTATATATATAGTCACCATTAATGGGTTTTCGAATCAGTGTATAAACAACATACAGGCAATATTTGACTTGGCTGATCAACGCAACATAATTTCCGATATGTTTTCAGTCCTACATTTGACTTGTACTAGACTAATTTATCTAAGATATATATGTCTAACTATCCATTTCAGTACGTTTTATATACATACATATATATATATATATATATATATATATATATATATATATATATATATATATATATGATCTTTTAATGGAATTCTTTATAAAACTTTTAGTTTTGTAACTTCCTTCTTAAAACATATTTAAATTTAGATCTTTTAAATTTTACCAGTTTATCGACTTCTTTTTGGTTAAATAAGGTTTTTATTATATTACTTTTTTTGAATAAATTCCTAAAGGTTATACAGTCTCATTTCATTATCTATCATGATCCATTTATTCTATCTATCTAACTAGCTATGATCTATCTATCTATCTATCTATCTATCTATCTATCTATCTATCTGTTCTTATCTATCTATCTATCTATCTATCTATCTATCTATCTAGCTTATCTATCTATCTATCTATCTATCTAACTAGCTTCGTATGTCTTATATTCGTGAGATTTTCTCTCTTCCATGAAAGATAGAGAGAGAAAACAAATGGAGAAATCACTTGTGAGATCACATTTGTTCTAACCTATAACGGCCTGCTAATATCTTCGAATATATATATATATATATATATATATATATATATATATATATATATATATATATATATATATATATGCGTGTGTTGTGTGCATGCGTGTGTGTGTGTGGATATATTTATATATGGTCAAAATAAAGGCATTCATTTCTTTTTAATTATATTCATCAGTGTCATCCAGATATAGTTTTGATACCGTCAATGCTACCTTTTAGCAGAATTGATCCCAGAAACACTAATTTAGAATGAAATATCCAACATTTTCATCTTTTGTGTAACAGTTTTTCCTTCGTTGGGATTGCAGTGATATTTATAGAATGATGCGAAATGATCGGTATATATTGCTATAAATAAATACATACATGCATACTAATACATATACATGTATACATATATATATGTGTGTGTATATATATATATATATATATATATATATATATATATATATATATATATATATATGTGTGTGTGTGTGTGAGAGAGAGAGTGTGTGTGTGTGTGTGCGTCTGTGGGTGTAGGGGTGTGCGTGCCCGTGTAACTGTGTGCGTGTGATTGTAAGCAGGTGTATGAGCAGCACATACATACGAATGTAATAACCTATAATGAAGAATTATAGCTCTACTTTTGTCTTGAGCTCTATTTTAAATTAATGTTATGAACGTTTGAATTTGTATTTGATTCGTTCTCATTTCATTTGTATATATATATACATACATATATATATATATATATATATATATATATATATATATATATATATATATATATTGATATCCACAAAATGTACTTTTTAAAAACGCTGTTTATTGAATTGTAAAGATGATTAATGGTTAAAATGCACCAGACAGTGTATATTTTTCCCTCATAAGAATTCTCTAATATTCGGGCCGCTAGACGAAAATAATCAAATATACCGTTTAATAAATAAACGGGGCGTCTACTCAAATACGAGTATCCACTAAAAATAACGTTTAAGTCATAAAATCTGTCAGATTAATAATTAAAAAATCCCTTTCTTTATATATATATATATATATATATATATATTAAAGGTTTGGCATTATTCCATATATAGATATATAGATATTGGTTGGAAGTTACTATGGTGGTTTCTCCTACAAAGGGGGCGTGTTCTATTCCTGTCGGCGAGCACATTTATTTCATTAAGATTTCTTGAATGCGCTGGCCGATATTTGTAATGTCCACTGTTTAAAACAAAAATAATAATGTGGCCTCTCTTTCACATACGTGTATCCACTATAATAACGTTTAATAAATAGTATGGTTATACATATATATACATATATATATATATATATATATATATATATGGGGTATGTGTGTTAACTTGATTTATTTTACGGTATGTTAATCCTTGGTAATTTCATATTGAATTTTATATTGTTCTCCCAGTGATCCCAATATTCACTAGTAATGTTCAAACAAACTATTCGTGCTAAAAATTACCCTAAACTCAAGCGCATATAGATCTACAACAAATCTACAGGCACTCAACAATATCGTCATTTCAAGAGCCATCACCCCAAAAGGCTGTCTAAAATTCCTCCCCTATTTCCCAACACATAGGATTTGTGCTATAGGGACCGACGAACACCTCCGAAAAACCCGCCTAGAAGAAATACTTACAAATCTCAGAAAACGAGGTTACCCACACCACTAATAAACAAAAGTTTTGAACGAGTAGAAAAAAGAAATTTCAGACCAACTACGAACCCTAAAAAGAACGTAACAACGGGCAAATTCACAATAAAGAAAAACTGCAACTATCAAAAATGTTATTTATGCAATCAAGTGCACAAAAGGCAACAAATCCTATATATGTATCACCGAAACACTAAACAACAGAGTTTCCCTTCACAAAAGCAACATTAAATTACCAGACAACAGGAAACTCAACACTACCACAAAGGTAAATTTAAAATTATGCCAATGTATCAAACAGACTATTGCTCTTACCTATAAATACAAGAAACAAATCTGTATAGACAAATTTAAATCTGCACTAAACAGATCATAACCTCACACACAGAAACAGACACCATACACGCACAGTGGGAAAACACACTATTCGTGCCACACACATGCACACATACACAAACACACCATGCAAAATACATTTAGTTACTGTATAGATTTCCTTATAATGTATAGTATATACGCATGGAGAAGGAATATATGTACACATACTGGCAAAAACAAATATGGATGGAGATGGAGTATATATATATACACCTACTAGCAAAAAAACACTCGCGCGCACATACAAAACACAAAAATGGAGAAAGGTTTAAAAATATGCATACGACATAAAAAGATAAGAACAAAGGCCTCATTTCTATCCCTTTCTCTGATCAATCCTAATTGTTTTATTACATCATAAGCAAAGGAAGATTTTTTCGCCAGTCCAAGATGAATTTGGATTACTACCATACACAAAAGACAATGGTTAAACATAAGAAAACATAAGAAAAAAGAAATTACGTTAAATAATATGTGGAAATAACCAGTCTTCGTCTAATGAAGGCCGCAAGACCCGAAACCAGTGTAGCAAAAAGTATGGAAAATAAAATAAAATAAAATATATAACATTATAACCAAAAACGTTACTGAATTTCAGTAAATCTGCTAACGAACACATGTGCGATAAAAATGATGGCTTGTGTGTGTGTGTGTGTGTGTGTATGTGTGTGTGTGGTGGGGAGAGCCTGCTGAATACTTCTCGGTTAGATTTAGAGGTACCTCATCCACTACAGCCACAAAAATCTGATGTTTGCACCATTGCTGAGATTTTTAAAATGAGATCTGAATGTTGATAGATCTCATAAATATTGTTTAGGTTTTTATAAAATAAATAATCACGATTAAAAAAAAAAAGATTGTGCTGCATCAACCATAAGATTGACGAAGAACTTCCTCCCTTGAGGAAAAATTCGAAATTCTTTCACGAGTGATCGAATACTGAACATTGTCGTCAATTGGATATACAGAAATATCTATCTATCTATCTATCTATCTATCTATCTATCTATCTATTTCAACCGGTTCATATCTATCTATCTATGTATCTATCTTCAATCTTCTGAACTCACTCCTTTTAAAGTATTAATCCTTTTTACTTTCTTTCCTTATTTCTACTATCTATCTATCTATCTATCTATCTATCTATCTATATATATATATATATATATATATATATATATACAGTAAGTATTATACCAGTATTATATTAGTGCTTATATAATCAATACAATGCGTTTTGTGTGCACGTTTTTTTTATCATTACTGTATACCTACTTTGGTATCCCCTATTCACCCCCCACCGCACGTATATATATTTTTTATATATATATATATATATATATATATATATATATATATATATGGATTTAGAAAACATTCCATTCTCTATCACCAGTTATTTTTTCTATGTCATTAATATTATTCACTAGGTAGGCCCTCTTAGTTCTATTCTAGCTGCCCGTACATCAATACTTCTACTGGGGATGGCCCTGAAAAGTTGGGAAGCTTCCTACTGCTAAATATGGAAATTGCCACAATATATGTCACTTCATTTAACATTACGTGTTTCGATGTCCAAATTCACAAAGACTATTGTGGACTGGTGCTTTATAATTAAAAACAAAGATCTATTCCAAACAATAGAAATCGTATTACTTGATGATTTTAGTAACATGGATCTCACATGTAACTCTAAGAAACAATAAGTATCTAATGAAGGTGTTGACATTCCACACTATTTCAAGTGAAAGTTTAGGAAGGAAACCCCTTTAATCAATACTGAAAAGAGCAAATACCTTATTCATTCCTTTTTCTCTGACCAATTCTAATTCTTTTATTACCTCTTAAGCACAAAAAAAAATTTAGGCACCGTGAAGGAATCGGAGAGCCGAGTTCGAATTCCTGTCGAATCCATTACATTCAATTACGTACTAATATCCCTTGGGAAAGGTATGACTCATCTCCTTCTCCACCCCAGCTATAGCAGGACAGACCGTGTTCTATAGTCTTGGATGGTAACTGACCTACTGCAGAAAGAAATGGCAACCTACTGCGGGAAAAAAACTGCCTCATCAGTCATGTATCGAAAGGTACATGATCGCCTAAGCGTGTATCACGCATGGCACATAACTGACTGATCACACACAAAGGACAATGGCTAAATATAAGAAAACACAAGAAAAAAGTAATTCCTTTAAACAATGTGTGGAAATAACCATTCTTCACCTGATGAAGGTCACAAGACCCGAAACGCGTGTAGCAAAAAATATCGAAAATAAAGTATAATATTTAAAAAAAAATCACATTATAACCAAAAACGTTTGTGGTTTCTCTTTTCTCTTTAATATATATATATATATATTCTTTAAATTTTCTTTAATACATACATATATATATATATATATATATATATATATATATATATATATATATATATATATATATATAGAAACCCCTAATCAATACGGGAAAGAGCGATAACAGCTACAGGGTTTGAGAAATCTATTTTTCTGAAAATTTGTTTTAAGAGAAAGATTTTATAAATTTCAACCGACAGTAATACTGGCTGTTCGGTCAATGAAATGAAATATTTTCTTTATAGGGAAACGATTAATACTAACAATATCATTACCATTTATAAACAGAACCACATAAATAATGTTTGTTACTTGAAAGTTAAGCAATAATAAATATCAGAATAAAGTTTGAAAGAAAAGCTTTCGATGTTTATCGTTATATCGGGTTTGACTAGAAATGTTTCAAGTGTTCAGAAACAAAAGAGCCTTAAAAAAGTTCTCCGCTCTAGATTCATAGATTTTGTGAATATTTTTCGTTTCAAGCAAAGAGAACTGTCATAGAATTTCAAGAGATTCGTCAGTTGATGTTTATTAAGATGTCTATTAACCGCTAAAAATCTAGGGATTCAACTCGTACCGCAGTCTTTTATTGACAAAAAGACTGGGTATCATTTTTTATGTACGTCGAGACCTTGTGACCCATACGTAATGGTGTAAATGAAGCTTCCTTATTCAAAATAACACACACACACACACACACACACACACACACACACACCCTATATGAATGTATATTAAATGGTGTGTATTTCGGCCCCAGTCCTCAATTTAAACATGTCACATTACATAAAACGGACAGCGAATGTTTGTAAAGCATTTCGGTTTGTTTCCCCTGTGTCAAATGGGATCAATGGTGGTTGAAAAATAATTAGAACATTACACACAATTTCGGCAAGATCTTTTACAACCCCTCGAGAAGCTCACTAAAAAAGCACAACCGACATTCCCAATTCGTTGTATTGAATTGAACACATACACACTCCCATATATATATATATATATATATATATATATATATATATATATATATATACATATGTATGTGTGTGTGTGTGTGTGTGTTTGTTATCGTTCTGAACTGGAAGTGATTCCAAAAGAAATGCTGATGTTCGATCATTTGGTCAGATTTGAAGATGTGGGGCGCGCCAAGATCTTTTCAGCAACTTCTCGTTTATCGTATATCTTTCCTAAAACGATTGTATATAGTTTTATTTAAGTGTTTGTCGTTAATGGCTGTCGTTGAAGTCACGACGTGGCTGAACGCTATAAAATTTTTTTCTTGTTTTTTCTTGTTTTATTTTTATTTTTTTATTTTTTTTTTTTAAATCTGATGTTTCTAGTTTTTTTCGCGTCGATATACAGAACAAAAAATGAAAAAAAATAGCCAACAGGATGAATAAAGGAAAAACATTCAAAACATAGATTTTTAAATAAGAATTGTATTAAACATTCACATCATTTCGTCGGCTTGTGAGCACATTATTATTTTCTTTTTAATTCTGAATATATTTTTTAATTTTTATTTTTTTTATTTCATTGCAAATTTATGTAAAGTGATTAACACTCTTTTTGCTTTCTATACGAAAAAAAGAAAGAAAGAAGTATTTTCTTGAGAGACCATAGCAATTTTTGTCCCTACGTATGACTTTCGTTTTATTTTTATTTTTATTTTTTTCATTTTGTATGGAGATAGTTAAAAGTAGCTATGTTTGGAGACTGCTACGCGTGCCATACTTCAATGCTGAGTACCTACAACATGTTTTGTTACCGAAATCCGAAATCATCGAAATACCACTGAAGATAATAAAAGGTAACTAGTCGAAACGTTGGCCTAGTTCTTTTCGAAGTGACAACAATTACCAATTTTCATGGTCATTTCACTTGTATCAACATAATTTTCAATTTGTATTCATACAATCTATCTCCATTTATCTATCTATCTATCTATCTATCTATCTATCTATCTATCTATCTATCTAGCTACCTAGCTCGCTAGCTACCTAGCTAGCTAGCTAGCTACATATCTAGCTACCTAGCTTGCTTGCTAGCTATCTATCTATATAAGTGTATTGATTGACATATATATATATATATATATATATATATATATATATATATATATATATATATATATATATATATCAGTATCCAATCATATCAAAATCTATCTCCCTATGTCCATTTACATCTAAGTCTATGTATGTATGGAACTATTATTATTATCATTATTATTATTATTATTATTATTTCTAATTTATAAACATACAAATGTTTGTTAAAATACGAAGATTACAACATGCTGAAAAAAAGGTTTCGCATTGAATATATATATATATATATATATATATATATATATATATATATATATATATATATTCTCTTCATTCACTCGTTCACAATAGTATGCCAAAATTACTTACCCCATGATATGCCACAGATTCTAAATCCGAGAAATAATCCTTAACCAGTATGGTGTCCGACTATGAGTCCAGTCGTTGCTTAGAGCCAAGTCCTTCCTCTGAGTGACATCCGTCAGCTGAAACTTATATTTATTGCTCCATGGTGTAAGTTTTGTTGCTTTTTCTGCCTTTGTCGAGTTTATGAAGCCTGAGACAGTAATTAATTATATAGAATTTTGAGTCGGCATGGTACACAACACTGGTAGGGCCAGGAAGACCGAAAAACGGTAACGCTTGTATGTCCAAGGCAGTCAGTAGCAGTAAAATGAGGAAAACGGATAGATAAAGAAAAGAAAGGCCGGATAAGAGCTAAAAAGGCAGAGAAGGAGAGAGAAGGAGAGAAAACAAAGAGAAGTAAGAATAAAAAATAGAGAGGGAGAAATAGACAGGCTTATTAGTGAGTATGC